GGACCCGCTGTGGAGACTCCGGGAGGACGTGGGGCCGCGTCCACGCTGACAGGAGCCGGGTCTCCTCAGGACCCGCTGTGGAGACTCCGGGAGGACGTGGGGCCGCGTCCATGCTGACGGCAGCCGGGCCTCCTCAGGACCCGCTGTGGAGACTTCGGGAGGACGTGGGGCCGCGTCCACGCTGACGCCAGCCGGGCCTCCTCAGGACCCGCTGTGGAGACTTCGGGAGGACGTGGGTCCGCGTCCACGCTGACAGGAGCCGGGTCTCCTCCGGACCCGCTGTGGAGACTCCGGGAGGACGTGGGGCCGCGTCCACGCTGACAGGAGCCGGGTCTCCTCAGGACCCGCTGTGGAGACTCCGGGAGGACGTGGGGCCGCGTCCATGCTGACGGCAGCCGGGCCTCCTCAGGACCCGCTGTGGAGACTTCGGGAGGACGTGGGGCCGCGTCCACGCTGACGCCAGCCGGGCCTCCTCAGGACCCGCTGTGGGGACTTCGGGAGGACGTGGGGCCGCGTCCACGCTGACAGGAGTCCGGCCGCGTCAGGACCCCCCGGGGAGGAGAAGGTGAGGAGAAGCCGCCTGAGCGGGGACTGCGGGGGCGGGGGTGCGAGCTCCCGGGACCCCGCTGGGGAAAGGCGCGCTGTGTAGATGCGGGGCTTTGTGTGCGCTGACGTGGGGTCCCGCGTGGGGCCGGGCGCGGGGCTGGCGGGTCTCCCCTTCCTGAGCTCGGATCCGCTCCGAGGTCCCGGGGTCTGTGTTTATGGGCCACTCGGATTCGGTTCCTGGGGCTGCACAGACAGTCTGCAGGCAGGGAGGGGACACCCGCCGCGGTGCTCGTGCTCCCCGGGCCTCGGCCCTGCGGGCTCCTTCCCGCGTCCACGCGGTCAGGATCTGGGTGGGGCTCCGGCTCCGTCACGGAGGTTGGCATCTCTGCTTCTCTGGGAGGTGCTGACGTGGGTGTTCGGAAGAGTCACCAACTGCGGCGAGCCTGTCCCAGCGGCACAAACGCTCGGTCTCCGCACTCAGGCCCCCAGCTGTCGTTGGCTCAGCACATTCACCACCTCACACGGGGCGCTTCGGTGCGTTGGACCCCGAACAGGGACGCCGTCCCGCGGAACCAGCACATGACCCTAAGTGCGGAGATCATCCGGTGTCCACACTGTAACCCAGCCCGCAGGCCCGCTTCCACGGTCACCACCTGCCCCACTGTCTGAAGCGTCCTTTTCCACTCGCGTCCAGTTTTCTTCTTCTGGAACTGCTCCCGACACGTTGCCTTATGCGGGTAACCTTGGCGGATGTAAAGAGCAAGCTGGTTGCAATCTGGCCTTTCCTGTCTGGCTTCTGTCACTGTGGCTGTTTTCAGTGTCCACCCACGCTCTGACCTGCCCCAGTCCCTCATTCATCTTTTCACTGCGACTAAACACAATAGTATCGACCACTTACAACATTGCAGGTGCACAGTTCTCTGGCCTCAGCCGAGTTCCCGCGGTTGTCCTTCATTCTCCAGCACTCTTTCCTTCTCCCCGAGGGGGACTCTGTGCATGAGACGCCAGCTCCCCATTGCCTTTCCCCTCGGCCCCTGCAGCCACATTCTACTTCGTGTCTCAGGATACTTCCTGTAAGTGGGATCACACAGTGTCTGTCCTCCTGTGACTGGCTGATTTCACTCAGCAAAACGACTTCCAGGGTCAATCCATGTTGTAGCCTGTGTCAGAACTCCCTTCGTTTTTAAGGCCGAATCGAGTTCCACACTGTATATGCCACATTTTGTTTATCCATTCATCCGTCAGTGGACACTTGGGTTGCTTCCACCTTTTGGCTGTTGTGAAAATTGCTGCTCTGAATAAGGGTACTTGTACTTTCAGTTTTGGGGGGCATATATGCTGCAGTGGAATTCTGCGTTCAATATTTTGAGGAGCCACCCTATTTTTTTCTACAAATGAACCATTTTACTTCATTCCTTCATAGGGCAGAACAAGATTGCCAGTTATGGATCTACCTCATTTTGTTTATCCTTTCCCCATTGATGGACATTTGCATAGTTTCTGGGTTTTGCCTATTGTGAACACTGCTGCTACGAATATTTCTGTACATTTTTGTTTGTTTGTATCAGTGTTTTCAATTTTGGGGGTATACATCTAGGAGTGTAATTGTTGAACCATATGGTAATTCTACTTTGATCTATTTGAGTAAATGCCAAAATATTTTATACATAGACTCACCATTTTTCACAAGCAAGGTGTAAGGGTTTCAGTTTCTCAACATCCTTTCCAAAATCTGTTATTTTAGTTTTCTTGATTAGAGCGATTCTATCGTGTGTAAAAGGACACCTAACTGGTTTAAATCTTCATTTCCATAAAGACTAAGGATGCTTAACATCTATTCATGTGCTGTTCACCATTTGTATGATTTCTTTGGAGGAAGGTCTATCCAAGTCCTTTGTCTATTTTAAAAAATGGGTTGTCTTTTTGCTGAGGAGTTGTAAAAGCTCTTTACATATTCTGGGCAACAGACTCTTATTAGATAAATAATGTACAAATATTTTCTTCCATTCTGGGGGCTTTCTTTTCACTTTCCAGATAGTATCTTATGATGTACAGATTTTTATTTTTTTTTTTTTACATTTCTTTTTTAAGAGTGAGTGAGAGAGAGTGTGCAAGTGGTCAGGGGCAGAGGGAGAAGGAGAGAGAATCTTAAGCAGGCCCCATACTCAGTGTGGAGCCTGACATGGTCTTGATCTCATGACCCTGAGATCATGATCTGAGCCAAAATTAAGAGTCGGACGCTTAACCAACTGAGCCACCCAGGCACCCAGAACAGATTTTTAATTTTGAGGATATTATTTTATCTATTTTTTCCTTTCCTTTCTTATGCTTTGGTGTCAGATCTAAAAGCATTGCTAGATCCAAGCTTATGAAGATTTATCCCCATTTATTTCTTCTAGAGTTTATAGTTTTACCTCTTACATTTAAGCCTTTAATTTATTTTGAGTTAATGTTTATATGTGGTGTGAGGTAAGGGTCCAGTTTCATCTCTCTGTACATGGATAGTCAATTGTCTAGCACCCTTTGTTGAAAAGACCATTCTCTCCCCCAGTGTAATGTTGCCACCCTTGTCAAAATTCAGTGGAGCATAGATGAAGGGGTTTATTTCTGGGCTGTCAGTTAAATCCCACTGATCTGTATGCATATCTTTTTAAAAAAACTATTTTATTTATTTATTTTAAAAAACGTTTTAAATTTAAATTCAACTAATTAACGTATAATGTATTATTTGTTTCAGGGTGAATGCTACCTTTATGACAGTATCACAATGTTTTATTTACTGTTGCTTTGTATTAATATTTGAACTTTGGAAGTATGAACTTTCACCTTTGATTTTGTTTTTCAAGATTGTTTTGGCTATTTTGTGGTCCCTTGAAATTCCATATGACTGTTAGGATTAGCTTGTGCATTTCTTTCCAAAGGCCTTTGTGAATTTCCTCGGGAACACATTGAATTTCCACATTGCATTGTGTACTATTGCCATCTTATCAATAGTATGTCTTTTCATCACCATGGGGTCCTCAGATTTATTTAGGTTTACCTTTCTTTCAGCAATGTTTTGTAATTTTCAGTGTACAAGCCTTGCACCTTGATTACATCTATTCCTGAGTATTTTGTCAATGTTAATGTTCCCTAAAATGGAATTGTTTTCTTAAATTATTTTTTGGATGATTCATGGCTAATGTATACAAATAAGAGAGATTTTTGTGTGTTGATATTAACTGGCTGTAATCATTTTTTGTTGATTGTTTAGGAAGCTCTCTATATAAGATGATGTCATCTCTGGTCTCTGAATAGACATAGTTCTACTGTTTTCTTTCACATGTGGATTTCTTGCCTTATCATTCTGGGTAGAACTTCCAGTACGATACTGAGCAATGAGTGAAAGCCAGCATGATGGACTTGTTTGTGATTTCAGAGTAGAGCTGTCAGTCCTCTAAATTGAGCATGATGTTTGATTAGAGTTAGGGTTGGGTTAGGGGATAGGGTTAGGGTTAAGGGTTCGGGTAGTTGACCCTGTGACCCATGCAGCCCCACAGTCAGCATGTTGGAGCCAGGAACACTCCCCCTGTGCTGAGCTCCCGGGCAAACCCTGCGGGTCCCCTCCCCTGGCTGACCCCCTGAAGGTTCTGTCCCCACCTGCCATGAGTTGGATGTCCCCACAACCTCCTCTTCAGGTTTGAATAATCTGCTCCATTGGCTCATGGAACTCAGAGAAACATGTGTGATACTTGGGCACAGCCATGAATCTCAGCTTCTTCATGATGGGGGGCAGCCCAGCAGCTGAGTGACCATGCAGGGCTGCCTCTGCTTTTATTTCATTTTTTTATCAGAAAAGCAAGGGCAGTTGCCTCAAAGCATGGGAAAGGAGGACAAAGGGATGGCAAGTATCCTGAAGCAGTAAAGCAGTCCTGTACCCTCCCCTAGGGGCAGGCACGCAGGGAGGCAGTCATGGGATAAGGGAAAAGCAAGGTGTTTGTGCTAGCAAGCACCAGGTGCAGAAAGGGGAACTGAGGGTTACATTCTTTCCTAGCTCCTAACCTGTGCCCTGCCCCTGGGGATCATGGGATCCTGCTCCTACTGGGCCCTTGCGTTCAATAGTCTGAGAACAGGAACGCTGTTGACCTTTCTGCTGCTTCCACAATCACTCCTGAGGGCTTACAATATATTTTCTAAGAATAATTCCACACTTCCTCCATGAGGTGGACTACCTGGTATGCACAGAGGTGGATATGAAGTTCTGCGACCACGTGAGTATGGAGATCCTGTCCCCCCTCTTCGGCACCCTGCACCCCGGTTTCTACCAGGCAGCCCACAAGGACTTCAGCTACGAGCATTGGCCACAGTCCCAGGCACACATCCCCAGGGACAAGGGCGACTTTTACTACATGAGGACCTTTTTTGGGGGGTCGGTGGTAGAGGTTCACCAACTGACCTTGGCCTGTCACCAGGTAATGGGGGTCAACCTGGCCACTGGGATTGAGGCTGTGTGGCACAATGAGAGCCACCTGAACAGGTACTTGCTGGACCATAAGCCCATTAAGGTGCTGTCCCCAGAGGACCCGTGGGACCCTCAGCTGCTGGGCTGTCCCCGAGAGGACCTGTGGGACCCACAGCTGCTGGGCTGCCCCTGGAGGACCTGTGGGATCCACAGCTGCTGGGCTGCGCCCCATCATGAAGAAGCTGAGATTCATGGCTGTGCCCAAGAATCACCAGGACATCAGCAGTGGTTATTACTTGAGGAGTCATTTTGGTGCCCACCGGGTCTTTCACTTGAGTTAACAGATGAGCCCGAAGGAAGGACGTCATCAGTTAGGAAGTACAGACGAAGGTCAGAGAGGAGGTGGGCAAAGGCCTCTTTAACTCAGAGAGCGGGGGAGCCCCGAGCTTCTTCTACACACCTTGCCCTGTTCATCGATTCCAGCTGCCTGGGTCTGAGTTCCGTCCTTTTAATGAACTGGTCATCTAGTAAGTAACATGTTTCTCTGAGTTCCATGAGCCACTGGAGCAGATTATTCAAACCTGAAGAGGAGGTTGTGGGGACTTCCAATCTGTAGCCCATAGCTCGGAAACAGGGGTGACCTCTCTGCCCAGCCACTGGCTGACCACTGAGTTAACAGCACAGGGATTCAGTGGCCACACACAGCAAAGAATACAGACTTGACAAAGTGAGTTCAGAAAAGTCACTAAGCCAACAGTAGCAACTACAACGAGCAGCAATCATGAAGCCTGGAGTGGGGAAGGTCTGATGTTCAGGATGCTTCCATTATAATATTCATAATCACACCCTGGACTTGTCACTGGGGCCAAGTCCCCCGGCTGGGGGTCCGGTAGCTCCTACATGTTCCACGTGCCTCTCTCTGGCTCCCCCAGCCGTGCACAGTCCTGTGCTGCTTCCCAGCAGAGGTCGGTTTTAACCAAAGCCCAGAAGATGGGATGGGTTTTCCTGACGCCCCACCCCCTGCCCCACAGCGCTGCAAGAGAGGAAAAAGTTTTCCTCAACCCTGTTAAGGTCCCCGGCTGAGTCTGGAAATTGACAAAGACAGATGAACAGGAGAAAAGCAAGCAAAATGTATGGATTGCTTTGGTGGGAGCCTCACAAGACCATGAAGACCAGCAGAGGTGACTGGAGCAGACAGCTCTTCTACCTTTTAGACAAAGAAGCAGTAAGTGTGTGAAGAATTGACAGACGCAGGGGTTTGGACTAGGGCTCGTAAACGGTAAAGAAGTAACTAGGAAGATAAGGGTTAGTTTAACCAGGTGTGTTTGTATAGACCCCGTGGTCCTAAATTCCTTGACTCTGGTGATAAGCACATCATCCCTGTGGTCCGGGGCGAGAAAGTTCCACATGGCAGTCTTCTGACCTGCTTAAGGGAAAAAGGGCTGATGGCTGGGGGTCAGAGAGACCTTCTTGCTTTGCTCTATGCAAAAGTTCTTTTAGCTACTATATTTATTTTGCCAAGGTGCCATATTTGGGGTAGTGTGTCCTGACCCTCACTGGCCTGGTGCTGTACTCTGTCTCCTAGTATCCAGGACATTGGATGTGCTGCCGTGGAGACCTTCCAGCCCTGGGGTAGCCCCTTGTCCAGGGAGGCACCTGCCTCAAGGGGAGGGTCGCTAAGTGTGGCCGCCCCTCCTCAGGGAGATTGGGTGGGAGAATGCAGATCTTACTTCGAGAAACTGACTTTATTTCCTGAAAAGGTCTACCTGATAGTGGGATCATACGGGAGTTCTATTTTTAGTATTTTGGGGAAGCTTCATCCTTTTCCCAGCATGGTTGTGCCAACCAAAGTCAATTCCAGATAATTTTTACCTATAAACCAGAGATTTTGCAAGAACCTCTCCAGCAGAGAACATGAGGAGAACAGTTTCAAGACCTTAGACAGGCAGAGATTTCCCAGGATGCAAGGTATACTAACCATAGGAACAAACCGGTGACTTAGAAACTATGAAATGAAGAACTGGTTCTCCTTCTTCCATTTCTGGCTAGTGTGCTGGTCTGTGGCTCGATCTCACCTCAGGCAGCTGAAAGGTTGACCTCCCAGGTCAGCTACCACTGAGATGGCTACTGTTTCTAGAAATTCTTCGGGGTGTGGCCGGTTTTCCCCACCCATGCACTGATCAAGTCGGCGACCTCGGACAGTGGAGCCACGGGTCCTCCAGGCATGGTTCCCCCCCAGTGCCCCAGTAAAGCCATTCCACTGAGGGTTTAGGGGGACCGGAGCTGCCCCTAGGCAAAAACACCAGAGGTTCTCACTGTCCCTACCTGGCCTTCAGATGCTCCTCAGTTACTCCTGTGCCTCTGGTGTCTTCCTGGAACCCTGACCTGGCTGTTTTTGGACAGTTCATCCAGTGGTACCCTCACTTTCTGGGAGGGGGATTTGCTGGAATCTGCAGTGTGTCCTGCAGTCCCACCGGGATCACTTTTTGAAGGCACGTCGCCTGGGCCATCTGAGGACTTAAGACTGTGGGTCTGTGGCTTGGAGGGATTCTGAGCAGCTGGTGGGATTCTGAGCGCTGGTGGGATGGGAGGGCTGCAAGGCCGAGAGGCAGGTTTCCAGAAAGCTGTCTGGGGTCCCCGGCATCCTACCGTTTTTGAATCAAAGCCCTGAGATCTTTAAAATGCCAGCAACGTTACAGCATGGGCCAGAAAAACAAATGTCCCTGTGTACCCAACACCACCTAAACTATTGGCCATTTCTTGTCACTTGAGTTGAGTAGAAAGGATTGGGAGTCAGGGCTTGAGGGGGGTCCTGGGTCAGACTTTGTGTTTGGGGGACAAAGGTCATCCAGACAAGCTTGTGCTGAGGCTGAGGAGGGGGTCTGTGTGAAGACCCCAGCTGCAGGCACTGCTGTCCACTGATGCCCCCTCAGCCTGCCCAAGTGCACCTGCTGCTGGGGGAGAGCCTGCCCCCTCTTCTCTGCCTGAGGCCTCTGTCCTGCACCAGGTGCGCCTCCTCTCCTGCCAGCCACTGCCAGCCTGCAGTCTGGGAGGGTGGCTACCCCGAGTTCCTCCAGCTGCTGGGGGAGAGCCTGCCCCCTCCTCTCTGCCTGAGGGCTCTCTCCTGCATCAGCTGCCTCCTCTCCTGCCAGCCACTGCCAGCCTGCAGCCTGGGAGGGTGGCTACCCTGAGTTTCTTCAGCTGCTGGGGGACCACCTGCCCCCTCCTCTCTGCCTGAGGGCTCTCTCTCACACCAGGTGCCTCCTCTCCTGCCAGTCACTACCAGCCTGCAGCCTGGGAGAGTGGCTACCCCGAGTTCCTGCAGCTGCTGGGGGAGAGCCTGCCCCCTCCTCTCTGCCTGAGGGCTCTCTCCTGCATCAGGTGTGCCTCCTCCCCTGCCAGTCACTGCCAGCCTGCAGCATGGGAGGGTGGATACCCTGAAAACCTCCAGCCCTGTGGACAGAGTCAGTGCGATGTGGTCTCCCAGCAGGTCTGAGCACCAGGCCCCCACATTGCTCACTCTCATCCTATGGGCTCAATGTGCCACATCCTCCCTCAGGCTCCCTGGGTCCGAGTCCTCCTCTGCTCGTGGACCATCCTTGGCCCAGGCTCCACACGCTGGGACTGGGAGCGGGTCGTCTGGACGTTCTGGACTCTCGCTTCTGTTCCCGTGACACGGGCACAGGCCGGCCTCACAGACTGCTCAGAGGAGACTCAGCACAGGACGATGCAGGTCGCTGTAAGGGGAGATGCCAAGTGACCCCAGAGTGAGCGCACAGGCCTTGCAGAAGGCGCTGGGCTCATGGGGCTCAGTGTGGGATGCGGGCGCCCAGCCAAGGGGCATGGGGAATCCTGGTGAGGGCGGCCCTGGCAAGTGGGGGAGGGGGAAGCCACAGAAGGGTCTCAGAAGAGGCAGGAGACAAGGAAGAGGACAGGACAGAGCTTCCCAAGGAGGTCGATGGAAGGATCAAAGGATCACAGAGACCCTTGGGGAAACGCGGAGGCCCTGGAGATGTTGGCTGAAATGCTGTCATTTGGTCAGAAAAGTTGTGTCACAACTCCCCAGTTGACACTGGATGATTTACTCTTTGTTGGTTCTAGGAATCAGTGCGTACCTGCCATTAGAACTCACATGGCATGAAGTCTAGGACATACTTACTTTTCATCACTTTTCAGGACGAGATTTTTCTAGAGGAGGTGCTAAACACGGGTCTCTCCATTCTTTTCTTTGTGCGACTGGCCTGTTTCCAGGAGCAGATTCGTAGTGCTCATCGCCAGAGCTAGCCGTGAGGACTGCCCCCCATCACCTCCCACAGTGGATGTGACCATGTGGGTTGGGGGGTGCTCACTAATGAAGCCCCAGTGCTCAGTACCCAGCAGGGACCCCAGATCCTGTGCTGAATGAGGGAGGATGGGAGTGAGGGAAAGAGAGAGGGAGGGACGATGGGAGAGAAGGAGGGGAGAGAGGCAGGAGGAAAGGGAGGATGGGAGGGGTAGAGGGGAGGGAGGGAGGCAGGGAGGATGGGAGGGAGGCAGAGAGGCAGGGAGGGAGGGAGTGGGGGAGGGAAGGGAGGAGTGGAGGGGAAGGAGAGAGAGGGGGGAATGAATGAGTGAATAAATGACGTAGGGAGGGAGGGAGTGAAACCACAGAAGCTGGATCTGTACCTCAGGAGACATTATTTGGGGTGAGGTCCGAGGGCACCACAGCCTGGGTCCTGGACGGTGGCTCAGGGCACGTCCATCTGTCCTCCCAGTGCTGACCTTCCTTCTCCTTGGACCCGGTGTCATCCTGGATCCTCTCCACCTCCTCCTCAAACAATTCTCAATGTTCCCAGGAACAGGGTGGCAGGAGGGAGTCTCAGGAGGGGCTTCCCGGATCCTGTGCCCCGAAGGACAACGTGAGAGTAGCTACAGGGCACTCTATCATGAGGACTGGGACCATGGATCCCATCCATCTCCTTGGGCATTAGTGTTGTTCCATTCCCTGCTCTCTCCACCACCGCTGTGATGAACACTCCTGAAAGCAGATCTGTGAAAAACCGAGCCAGAGTTTCCGGGGGTGAGTCCGAGGCCGAGCATGCCAGGTGATGGGTGCACCTGCAG